CTATGACGTTTTATGCCTTATTATACTATGACATTTGTATGACATTTCATGCCTTACTATACTATGACGTTTTTATTACATTTTATGCCTTACTATTCTATGACGTTTTATGCCTTATTATACTATGACATTTGTATGACATTTCATGCCTTACTATACTATGACGTTTTTATTACATTTTATGCCTTACTATTCTATGACGTTTTATGCCTTATTATACTATGACATTTGTATGACATTTCATGCCTTACTATACTATGACGTTTTTATTACATTTTATGCCTTACTATTCTATGACGTTTTATGCCTTATTATACTATGACATTTGTATGACATTTCATGCCTTACTATACTATGACGTTTTTATTACATTTTATGCCTTACTATTCTATGACGTTTTATGCCTTATTATACTATGACATTTGTATGACATTTCATGCCTTACTATACTATGACGTTTTTATTACATTTTATGCCTTACTATTCTATGACGTTTTATGCCTTATTATACTATGACATTTGTATGACATTTCATGCCTTACTATACTATGACGTTTTTATTACATTTTATGCCTTACTATTCTATGACGTTTTATGCCTTATTATACTATGACATTTGTATGACATTTCATGCCTTACTATACTATGACGTTTTTATGCATTACTATACAATTACATTTTTATGATATTTTATGCCTTACTATACTGTGACAATTTTATGCCTTAATATACTATGTCATTCTTATGACATTTGATACCTTACTAATCTATGACATTTTTATGCCTTACTATACTATGACGTTTTTATGACATTTCATGCTTTACTACACTATGACATTTTTTTGACATTTTATGCCTTACTATACTATGATGTTTTTATGCCTTACTATACTATGACTTTTTATGCCTCACTATACTATGACGTTTATGACATTTTATGCCTTACTATACTATGACGTTTTCATGACATTTTATGCCTTACTATACTATGACTTTTTATGTCTCACTATACCATGACATTTTTTTTGACATTTTATGCCTCACTATACTATGACATTTTTATGGGATTTTTTGCATAACTATACTATGATGTTTTTGTGCCTTACTATACTATGATTTTTTATGCCTAACCATACTAAGACATCTTTATTAAATTTTATGCCTTACTATACTATGACGTTTTCATGACATTTTATGCCTTACTATACTATGACGTTTTCATGACATTTTATGCCTTACTATACTATGACCTTTTATGCATTACTATACAATGACATTTTTATGATATTTCATGCCTTACTATACTGTGACAATTTCATGCCTTAATATACTATGACTTTCTTATGACATTTGATACCTCATTAAACTATGACATTTTTATGCCTTACTTTACTATGACGTTTTTATGACTTTTTATGCCTTACTATACTATGACGTTTTTATGACATTTTATGCCTTACTATACTATGACGTTTTCATGACATTTTATGCCTTACTATACTATGACTTTTTATGTCTCACTATACCATGACATTTTTATGACATTTTTTGCATAACTATACTATGATGTTTTTGTGCCTTACTATACTATGACGTTTTCATGACATTTTATGCCTTACTGCACTATGACTTTTTATGCATTACTATACTATGACATCTTTAGAATATTTCATGCCTCACTATACTGTNCGTTTTCATGACATTTTATGCCTTACTGTACTATGACTTTTTATGCATTACTATACTATGATATCTTTAGAATATTTCATGCCTCACTATACTGAGACAATTTTATTCCTTAATATACTATGACATTCTTATGACATTTGATACCCTACTAAACTATGACATTTTTATGCCTTAATATACTATGAAATTTGTATAACATTTGATGACATTTGATGCCTTATTATACCCAGACATTTTCATGACTTACTGTACGTTACTGTACGGCGTTTTTAAGACATTCGATCCTCTATAATAATATCAAGTTTTTATAACATTTTAATGCCTTACTATACTATGACATTTTTATGACATTTCATGCCTTACTATACTAATATGTTTTTATGACATTTTAATGCCTTACTATACTATGACATTTTTATGACATTTCATGCCTTACTATACTAATATGTTTTTATGACATTTTAATGCTTTACAATACTATGACGTCTCTATGCCTTACCAAACTATGACATTTTTATCACATTTTACGCCTTACTATACTATGACGTTTTCATGACATTTTATGCCTCACTAAACTATCACAATTTTATGCCTCACTATACTATGACATTCAAATGACATTTGACACCTTACTAAACTATCACATTTTTATAACATTTTATGCCTTTATATACTATGATGTTTTCATGCCTTACTATACTATGACGTTTTTATGCCTCACTATACTATGACATTTTTTTGACACTTTATGCCTAACTATACTATGACGTTTGTCTGACATTTGATACTTCACTAAACTGTGACCTTTTCATGACATTTTATGGCTTACTATACTATGACATTTTTATGACAGTTGATGTCTTAATATACTATGACATTGTTATGCCTTACTATACTACAATGTTTTTAGATGTTTTCATGCCTTACTATACTATTATGTTTTTATGCCATGTATGCCTGACTATACTATGACGTTTTTATACCTTAATATACTATGACGTCTTTTGATGTTCTTTTGCATTACTATACTATGTTGTTTTTATGCCTTAATAGACTACTACATTCCAACCCTAACCCCATCTACAACTATCACCTCTATATACAAAGATAATAATAATTATTAATATTCTTATTATTATTGTTGTTGTTATTATTATTATTATTATTATCATCGTCGTCGTCGTCGTCGTCATTATTATTATTATTATCATCGTCGTCGTCGTCATTATTATTATTATCATCGTCGTCGTCGTCGTCATTATTATTATTATTATTCATTTATCTATTTATTATTATTATCATACATTTTGGTTGAGGTGCTTCTCTGTTCTACCAGAATGTTGTGGAGAGGGTGGTTCGTATTGTCCAAGATGGCCTGAATCTTACATTGCTTGTGTCTCTCCACAACAGTCCTGAGTGAGTCCAGAGCACATAACCAGCCTTTTTGATCAGCTTGTCCAGTCTCCTTGTGTTTATGTCTGACATGCTGCTGCCCCAACATAAAAAAGGACACTCAATGCACCTGTGTGAGTTGCCCAGTAAGCACACCTGCCCTTGTGCTACTCTCCAGGCCAGCAAAGTAAAAAAAAAAAATTAAAAATAAAATGCAGTAATCCAATTTGGATTTTCATTTTCACATACTCATGGGCATTCTATGACCATATTAAAATGAAAATGTAAAAGCTATTGTTTTCAAAGACTTAACCTGTTCTGCAGTGACAATATTGAAATACAATAAGTGTGTCACAAATCATAAACGTAGAATTGAGATCCACAAATGCTTTTTCACTTGCTTTTCATTTATTTGTAAATAAATTGAATGTATTAACAGATATATTTTTATCTGTAGAATTTGGTTGTTTATTGGCAGATCCGTTTTATATTTGCAAGATATTTTTGTGAATTTGCAAATTTATTTCCTGTATTTATGGAAGGTGTTTTATATTTACAGATTACACATTTACGCACAGATTGCCAATCTGTTAACACAAGTAACATTGAAACAAATCTACCTCCATAATAAAGTGTCCTGTGTCAAGACCTAGTCCTATCCTTCTTTCCTCTACCCTTTCCCTGTGTTTCATCTCACAGTTGTCCTTGTACTCACATTGGGGCTTCCACCACACCTACTTAAAAAAGTTGATCTGTGTGTGTTTTTTTTAAAGATCCATCAATAAATAAGTGTAAGAAGCATTTAATGCCACACTTTGCGTCACTGGTTTTCTGTTACAGTGGGTTCAGTTGTCTCTGAAATAGACTCTTGGGGTGGAACAAAAGGGATTAGGTAGCCTTGTCAAACACGAAGAGAGGATCAGATTTTCAGATCCACCCACAGTGCTTTCCCCTCCTGACCACAGACCAGTTTTGGATAAAAAAAAAAAACAAGAAGCCCGTGGATTTGGACAGACACACTTGTTCACATTAGAAACCTGTTTGTACTTGGTGTAAATAACAAAAACTGAGCAAGTGTAGTCAAACTTGTAATATCCTGCTACTGAACAAAACTCAAGATTAAGGAAATCAAATGGGTTCCCACACAGTTATTTCAGCTGTTATTATACCACAAACTTCAGTGTCTACACTTCCATGTTTACAAACTACTGTAAATGGTGGAAAAGCCCTGAGTCACAGTATCATGACAGGAAAGGGGTAAAATGCCGTTTCAGCCAAATGTTGTTATTTTAAAGGGAAGGGCAATAGACCGCAGCTTGCCCCAAACGATGGTACACATATTTTCACAATGAGGGTCACTTATGTGTGAGCAGGGCTCAGGAAGGGCTGTCAATAGACCCCTTTATGAGGCGGTGAGGGGGGAATTAGGCCGTCAATGGAGGGGACTAAGCCACGTATGCCGTGTGTCCACACTCGGGCCTGGCCTGTTTGTTTTGATGGCAGCACGAGACTGGCGTGACTGCAGGCCTTGTTTACGTTGGATATGTGTCAGGAGAGTTCCCACTCGATGAGAAACTGACCTCTCAGATTGCATCAGAGCAACAGGTGCAATTCATTTCCAGTCAGGGCTTCTGGAGAGTTACACCTGAGTCAATGTACTGAAATGATCAGGCCTGACAGTTTGAAAACATGAGTTAGGCATCTGCAAGTCAGAGGGGTGTTTCATTAAGGTGGCTGGGTTTATTGTGGAAACCTTGTCTTGAAATGTCTAGTTAAAGAACTGCTGCTGAAAAAAGACTAAAGACATCATGCACAGATCACATCAATTGACAATCAAGAACTAAACAAAACTGAGATGTTTGTGGCCACAGAGCAGCACACATAAAACGTATAATATGGAAAATAAAATAGTGAAACAGAAATGAACAGAACCACCGACACTGACACAACAAAAGAGAACTTTTGGCAGCATGTTGTAGAGCAGCAGTGAGCTCAGCTTTTAATGCAAGTACAGATGAACTCAGTTTGTTGTTCTACTGATAATCTTGTGATTGTGAGCTCAAGTCACATATGATTCATGTGAATTAAATTAAAATATAAGCTGCACCATGACATAACATAACTTTGAAGCATCAAATAGGATCCCAGACAGGTCTTTTATTACAAAGGAATAGATGATTTCAATAATTTACATTTAAAATCATTTGCAAGAGGCTTAAGTTATTCATCAGTTAGATTTTGCTACTGCTCGTCTGCACCTCTTGTATTTTTCATAGACGGATTCCTCTGTTTCACTGTTTATGTCACATTTTTAACAAGGAAGACATGGTGAAAATGATACGAGACTGCAGCCACGGGTTAATCATTAGCTTTGTTATGATTGCAGTGTATTTAAAAAGCACATGGAATACTGTGCTGACCTTTAGACTCAAAAAGATACAAGTGCAATAAGTGCAGCTCCTGTCAAGATGCATAAATGTAACATGTTTGCAAGTTGACTATCACTTGTCCCACAACGTTTTCACAGTGCGCCATTTAACAAAACTTGTAATTTAAGGAACATTGGAGAGAACAGTTTCCATTGTAACCTAGATGAGATTTGTTTAAACCACTTGCCTACAGCCATGCTAGCAGCTCTGTGAGACTGTACTTGATATTTCAACAAGAAGATGGCTCCATATAAAAAGTTTGGGATTCACCAAACTGACCAAATTTCATCCTTAGATAGACGTGCATGTTTGTACCTAATTTTATGGCAATCCATCCAGTAGTTGTTGAGACATTTAACTAAAAATCACATATGTCAACCTTACGGTGGCACTAGAGGAGAAGTAATTGGATCATGGTAGTCATTAGGAAACACATTCTAGGCTTGGTTCAAGCAACAACAACGTCAAGAGTCTCGTTTTGATTGAACAAGCAAAGCAATTTATTTACAAACATACACAGGTAGTAAGTGTCGCCCATGAGTCTTTCCTCACAGAGTATTTAGTGTGCATCTTACAGCGAAATCTTTGGGCTTGCAAACAAAAAGAAGCTCAGTAATCCCCCCCACCCACCTTAAAATCAGCACAATCCAAACTTTCATCACTAAAAATTTGGTTTCCTCTTGTGATCATTTCAGCTCAAATATCATCAATACTTGGAGCAGCATTAAATACTATTTTTCAAGAAGGCCTACTGCCTGATTAGGTGCCCTCTCAATACTCTGTGGTATTGTGTGAGACAATTTCAAGGTGATAAAAAAAAAATCTAATTGAGATAACATGCCAAATAAATGGAATAATACTTGTTTAATTGGTCACATTGGCACGCTTTGTTTTCCTCAATTTTCAGTGTTTCTTTTTTTAAACATTTCAAATTTCAAATAAACAAATGCTAATTCAAGTTATATGCGAAGTTATAAGCCATCAGGGTCAGTTAAAGAGCAGTGTCCCTTGAGCCTGAAGGGACTCAGTTTCTTGCTCAAGGACACTTCAGCAGGAGGACAATTACTAGCTCAGGGTCTTCTTAACCCAGATCCACCAGGTAAAGGACATTCTCTCTCAAAACTAGAGCACCCTGCTGCTAATCCTTCTCACTGGTTAATGGCATGTTTGCACTCATGAACAACTTCACAGAGCGACCACCTTGACCCCATTATAGCACTGTAAATGTGCGGAGCAATACACTCTAACATAGAGCACAGGAAATTCGACATTGATAAAAGTGGGTCTGGTCTCCATAAGTCCATGGCAAGCATCTGACTGGTAGAAAATGAATGGAATACTTCAGTGAAAATAGGAAGTCCCATCTTGTCTGCAAGTACCTGCGTACAAACAATCATTTCTTGTCATGCGGATAAGTTGTGGCTAGAAAATAGTGAATAAAACACGAGAGAAAAAACAAATCCAAGGTCCATTCAAATGAATTGTGTGCGGTGCTTGTGAACACAGCTTATTTTTCAGGGTTCGTTCCCAAGCTCATTAAAAGTCTGGGAAAAAAAATGTCCCCGTTCTGCCCACGTCTTGCAATATTCAAAAAGTGCACTTTTAAGACGATGACTTGCGAAAAGATGAGTCACTCTGAGGAATAACAGTCCAGCCAAAACCAGCCACTTAAAGGGCTTTTGTTTAAATTTTATCCAGGCCAGGAGGCAACCAATCATACCAAAGAAGGAGATTAATGAAAAGAGATGATAAAAAATGTTACAATCATTGGTTGTTTTAACTGAGAAAAAAAATGTTCACCATCAGATTCAAGCAAAAAAGAAAAAGAAAAAAAGCTCTCTTAAGCAACAAGAGAGATCTAAAGTATACAAAATGAAGATGAAGAGATGTGGAACATGCAAACTAGAAAAACAACTTGTTTGCAGACAGTTGAACCCTTTCTTTCCAAGTCCATGTAGTGATAATGAATGTAGAAGTCAAAAAAATTGAGAAAAGTTTGTTTAAAAACACGTGTCCCTTTGGCTGATTCCAGGTCTCTGAGATGAAGGAGAGGGTTGTCGGTAATGATGAACGGCGGCGGCTGACTGACAACCAACTGTACCTTGAAGCGGTGAGACGGCGATGGGGAAGAGAGAGGTGGGAGGATGGATACTGTGGGGAGGAGATCAGGAGGAGAACCTGGTGGTCGTCCTCCTGATGGGTTACTAATGCTAGGAGGTCTGCAGCAGGCGTCTGTAGTGGGGCATGATCTCGTGTTCGGGCAGGTGCAAGTTGAACTCCAGCGCCACCAGGACAGGGAACTCGAAGGCTATCAGCTCTCTGCGGTTCACTCTGAACCTCTCCTCCAGTTTCTGCCAGACAAAAAAAAAGTTAAGATTAAACAACAGATACGTCTAATGCTGCATTCCTTATTGCTTCTCAATGACTCATAATCGCACCCATTTATTTTTAACCAGCGTTTCATGAGGACTGACCTCATGGCAGACAAGAAAGGTTTCAGTAATGCCTGCTGATGCGATCACCATACGCTGCAAGTCAATTACAATATAAAGGGGGGCATTTGCTACTCTAAAAGCTTTCATTAAAAGGGGCAATTCAGTAAATTGAAGTGCATGTTGATCAAGTTTAGGATTTGAGCAGTGAGGTGGGTAAAGCATGTCAGATTATAAATACCAGACCCTTGACAAAAAATGTCGCCTGTCATTTATGGGATTTGGAAGCCACTCGACTAGCAATATCAGATCCTGTTTTTAGGTAAATACTCCTAAGATCAGCTTTCATGATATTGAATGGTTCTGGCAACAGTTCTTTCTCTTATTGTAGCTGACTGTGACTGAAATACACTTTGCTGTCCTATCCTGCCTAGTATTCTCTATATCTGGTTTTTAACTTCTGAAAACAGTCATCACAACCATATTTTTCTCATAGTGGTCTCTGGCCATCCTAATACAGTAGTTTTGGTTTTTATCTTCTCATGTTTTGATCTACTGCCAACTACAGTGGAATTGTGTTTGTGGTGCTCACAGCAATGAAAGCTGTCCTGGTTAGTCAGGCTATTCAAGAGACTTCACTGTGGACACTTTTCACTATGTTTAACTTGTTGACTTTACAAGTCGTGGTTTAAAAACATCATGAAGCCACAAAGTTTTGATTTTTGGAAACTTACGTCTATCAGGAGCTTGACTTCATGTTTCTTGAGATCACCACCAATCTTGGCTGCCAGAAGAACACAAGCTCCAGCACAGAGTTTACGATTCTGCTTGTTTAGTTTGCCTTGAAGAACAAGTTTTTCAAAGTAGACGAAAGCCATGGCCACTGTGGGCTCCTCATAACCACACTCGTCCTGGGCCAGCTTTCTTATCTCCCTTTTCAAGCTGCACAGAGTGAAAAAAAAAACCAACAAAAAAACAGAAAGACGAAGGGGAAAAAGAGAAAGGGCAAAATTAAGAGAAAGTAGACCGTAAAGAAAATAAATTAAACAGTTGAAGTTAAAGTTAAAAGTTAAATCGTCTTTATTGTAAAACAACAAACAAACTTGCTGACACATTTTATACATTTTCGTCTGTTTTACCTCCTTATCTTGCTGAGTGTAAGCCTTATGTGGGGGAATTTCTCCTTGAAGGTTTCATTCATGTCCTTCTTGAGGTCAGAGGGTTTGACGTATTCAATGACCGTAGTCTGAAAGGAAAACCAGAGGTGGTGTTAGAATGACCACGGCTCTCAGCAGTGAGCTCGGGGACTGGATCCTCACACATTAGTGTTGGATTCCACTGTCTCACAGTGAGGCTTAGCTGAGCTCTGGTGTTACTGGGTGATAATTTCCTTCATTACTGTGAACATTGTCACTGTAGTTTGTTTTGTGTGTGGGCTTCGGGCCAGAGTGCCACAGACAGAACAGTGATGTTGAAAAGTACTGAGAGGCAGACTAACATATTTTTGGTTTTGATCTTCTTCTTTTTTTTTAAATGAGATTTGAGACAATGAGAAAAACACAGATTATCACCAGCCTTGTTCTTTAAAAAACACAGAGGACAGAAAGCATACTCAGTTGTCTACTGAGCTCTCTATGCCGTCTTCAGACTTCTCTTGAACAATCCTTAGAGCTTGTTAGAACATGTTTTGAGCACCAGGTGGGTGAGTCACATTAGGACAGTTTAATGAGGGGCTGAAATCCCTGTAGAACAAAGTGCATTTCTAGCTCTTGGCTGAATTCACAACTTAAATTTTAGATGTTCTAGAGGCAAAATGAATCTTTGCTGTTAGATATGCAGGATAATTCTGATTTATTACAACATGGAACTTATTTTCATAGATCTGGCCGTCATTCCATAATAATAATAATAATAATAATAATAATAATAACAACAACAACAACAACAACATAGTATTGCAAACCTTCAGATTAGCCAGTTATATTAGAATAAACAAATGGAGATGAACACTTAAGTTATGACCAAAAAAGTAAAATAATTACCCAAACAGCCCATCGCAGTTTGCAGACCAACTTCATGGTTTAACTTTGAGTCACCATACTTGCCATATCTATGGGTCCAGGATTATTATCAATTGGCTGCACTTACTTTCAGTTTGACCTCTAACACACCTCTAACAAACTAACCAGTTTATCTAAACCACTTTATTTGGCTAGTTTGTTTGTTTTCATTTTTAATTCCTGCTTCCTTTTGTCCTGCTTTCTTTCATTTTTTTGTATGTACACACATGTACACACAAGCTGCCATATCACTATACTGGCAGATCAAAACGCACATTGCACATACACACCCATTTTTTTTTTATCTCAACTTAGCTCACACATACCCCTTACTGAGTGAGCGTTACTGCACGCCAATCCAACTGCAGCAATCGTCTTGAACTTCTATACCACACTGTTTTGTTTGCACTGAAAATACACCACAAGAACTAGAAGTACCAATTCAAGATTGTATGCCTCCGCCACTCAGACTAGTTTCAGGTTACATCCTTGTTTATCCAGAATCATATAAAATATTAACCATTTGTGTCAAATTTTGTCATAATTGTTATGTGAATTCTTCAGTTATGGCTAAAAATGGCTCCACAAGAATGGGATGGACAGACGGACAGACAACCCGAAAAACATAATGCCTCCAGCTCTGGCTGGTGCCAGCGTGGAAGTATAAAAATAATATAATGTAATCTTAAAAAATTATTGATTCATCTTTTCTGTAATTTTTCTAGTGAAACAATTTCTCAAAAGTGATGGTTCACTGCTTTACTTTGTCATGCTGTCTGTCATGATAACAAATGAAATATCTGTGGGTTTTGGACTGTAGGTCAGACAAAACAAGCAATTTGAAGACGTTACCATTGAGTTTAATTATAATGGGTATTTTTTCATTACTTTAGTTTACTTTTCATAGCTGAGAGAAATGGCCAAAAGTGCAAAAAATAAGACTCATGTTGTAAAAACAACGGGGTTATTCCTTTAGTGGTCTACTAAGAATGAGCAATTAAATAAGAGCACACTATGCAGCAGTTCTAAAAATATATCGATGGCCCTCTGTATGTATGTATGGTATTGCAGACAGTGCACAGAGTGTGAATAATGGCGTTAGCCCTCAACATCATGCTACTAATCATGAAGCATGAAGGAGAACGAATGCTTATCTATGGTCGGAGCTCTGAGAAATGAACAGAAAAAAGGACAGCACTGACAGCACGACAGAAAGTCTTATCAACTATGACCCTGTTTCTTACTTATGTCAACACATAAAAACATTTCATTTTTCCATGTTTTTAACGTGAGGGTAATAATTCACAAATCTACAAGCTTCCTTACCACATTTAAAATAATCTAAGTGAGGTTTTCCTCGCTTCATAATCATATTGTAGGTCATACAAGAGTTTCCTCAATTGCGTCTTGAGGATTAAATTCCCTGCATGAACTTGAAAGTTCAGTGAGAGAGTCATGTCTCCCAAACAGCCTGTGTTTAAACCCTGAAATGCTGAGAATTTACTGGTTCCATTCCTGTAGCAAACAATAGCCATTGTTGTGAGACGCTGGGTTTTGTAATTGGAGGAAGAGAGGAGGAAAAAAAAGCATAGCCTGGCCTTGACTGAACATTTCAACTATGTCAGTCCTTGTTGTGTATTCTGCCAGTCTCCGTAACAAAAACAGAGCCCAGGAAAGAATGAGGTGGGAGTCTAGTCAGAGTGTTTTTTTTTTTCCTTTTCCGACCACAATAAAATGTTCTTTTTCCGGAAAAGTGAGAATGATCAGTGCTGAGACATAAACATTAAGCTGTTACACTGGTCAAGTGGCTGTATGTATATTCTTTCAAGCCCCAGAAGGTGGGACAGAGTCTAGGCCCGGTGACCTTCCTGATTAAAACTGTTAGAAACATCCTCCTGGCTCCCTTTCAAAAACAGCTGATAAAATTCACGAGGACTTTTTGAGAAAGAATCTCTTGAGTCAGATAATTCTTTTTGGTGTGTTATTGTTCTTGGTTGTGGTGGGAAAATTGAACACAAATGCTCCATAATGATAAAAGTAACAATTACAAAAAAAAGCATTAAGACTGAGATATTGTAGGACATCTCAAAGAAAAATGTCAAAACAGAGGCGGATCTATTTCTGCAAATTATGTCCTGGACAAAAACAACTTTTCCATTATACCCTCAAGAGGACAAGGCTGCAATGGCTGTTGTTGTTATTGCTGATGGCAGTGGTGTTACACGCAGCTAGAGTACTTTCTCACCATGTAGGAGGGGAAGATGAGGACTCTCTTGTGTTTTCCACAAGGCCACTGAGGGTCATCCAGCAGATTCGGATCATACTCGCGAAAGTCAACCAAATCATTCCCTGCCATGAGCACAAACACAACAACAGAGGTTGAGCCAGAAGTTAACATTTGCACAATTTCTTTTCCAATAAAAATATACTGGATAAAGACAACTGAGGGTGAGGAATAAGTCATGTTATTTGTTGGCAACCATCTAACCTGTGTCTAGGCTGCTCTGGTTGCTGTTGGCTCGGCCCAAACTGAGGCTGCGGTGGCTGGCGTTACGAGATTGAGAGAAGGAAGAGGTGGAGTCGATGGTGTTTCTGCGACCACCCAGCACATTAGTAGGATACAAGAACTGGGTGTAGGATACAGTCTGCGGACACAGGTAGAGAGTAAAGTTTGCATTTATATCGCACCTGTTAGATTAATACATCTTTTTACAGCAGCATTTTGTCAAGGTGGGAGAAGCACAGGTGGTGCCAATAACATTAGCAATGGCTCAGTTTCATTAAGTGTCCCAGTATACCATACCAAGTAAGCCAGCATGCACATTAACTAACACCTGGGCTGATACTGTTATGAAATGTCAAAATGCTACTTGGAAAGCAGCATATTCTTCAAATATGCTAAACGTGTGTTGATTTGTGGGAATTAGCTTGCTAAACACCACAAACAATACACACAAATCTTCAGAGTTTATGTTCTGAATTTATCAAAAACCTCAACCTTATCTTGAACTACAATGTTTGAAGATAAGCAGTTCATCATTTAAATGAAGGTAATTTGTCAGACTAGCTAGCTTAGTGCCATTCAAGCCTATGTAGCAGCTAGCATCTAACAAGCTAACTGCAAAAACCATGTTTTTTCAATACGCAGCTAAAATGTGAATGGCTCCTTATTTAAAGCAATATTTGTTTAGTTACTGTAATATTTGTTTACAACACTGAATGTGAGTAAATCAAGACCCATGTGCACATACTAATTATACTTACATAATATTGAAGCAAACATCATCACTGTAACATCCAACTGTACTCACTCACAAACACCAATATCAATACCATTTTCTTTTACTTTGTGAGAGCAGTATTTTTTTTTTTGAATACTTACAGTAAATATACAACCTTCTAATTATATTTTTACAAATAATGAAGACAAGCTGATAATATTCCTCTTCCATACACGTACACATTTCTGCTGATTTCTTACCTTTCCATCTGCTCCCAACTCCACTCCCTCCAGCCCGATCACCATCTCCTTGGCACTGACGCCTCCTGACGGGTGCCGCTGACGCCCTCCTTCCAGCTTTATATCCCTGATGATGAGCACAAAACCTTTGAGGTTTTCATCATACAAATAATACTACTACTTGTTTAATTCCCATCTCCTTCTGCTGGGGCCTTGTCTAGCACACCTCCACATCACTACCTCACAGATATAGGCCCTGTATTGATCTGCATTCATCGGCCGGCCTAGTTTCTGCAATTGCCCATGTCTGTGGGTGCATCTCAGGGAAATCAGAAATAAAATACACCCTTGGGAGTAAGGATGGAGGAGAGTTTGGTTTTGCTCTAGCAGGCCAGCCTCCTCAAAAGGCCTCACCAACGCATGAAAAGCCATACTGCTGTGGGAGATTTGCAGGAGGTCAGATGGTCTGCTGAAGTAAAAAACAGATGGCTGGAGAGTTAAGTGTGTCAATGGAGCAGTGGAGAGCCCTTGACTGAACACATTTCGTATGTGCCAAATCTCTCTGTATTCCATGTCTGCTGCGGAGAACATACGGCAGACTGGGGCAATCACATGCAAAATTAGATTAAAATGGTTCCCAGATAAATAGAAAGAAATTACACAGTAGGCCCTCACATGACTCTCCCAGTGTTTTGATGACATGTGGGGCCAATCTGTTATAATGAAAACAGTGTTATCTGGCAGACAGGCACATAAGAACACAGTGTTGATAGATGCATCATAGACATGGGGATCCTTAGGCAGCAGACATCTTACAGCACAGTGGAGATTAAATAAAAATGGGGGAAACACAAGAGACAGAAAGCTTTCTAGGAAGAGAGCTTTTCTATGAAGCTTCAGTCTGCTGAGAATAAGGAGAAATGAAAGGAAATTATAAGAAAAGCTGATATTGCCAAGTAACATGCATGAATAGGAATCACTGGCTTCAAACAATGGTATGTTATTAGTATTTTAATCAATGCAGCGCTCATTATGTCCTGCCAAATGTTTCTAAATCTAGAACAAGCAACCAAGAAATAAATATTAACATGACTAAAAGAATCTTGACCCCCTGCTGGTTACGTACACTATCAAATACTGTGTGTCGGGTTGACTGGCTTGTAATAATATTCCCCCACAGACTTCACCCATTACACTAAACTTAGGAGCATCACTTGGTTATACTTGATTATTCCCTGCTGTGAGGACGTTTGTCCTTTGCATTTGACCCATCTAACATTTTACCCTGGGAGCCAAGTGCAACTACAGTCCAATGCCAGGACTATTACCTAACATGCATGACTTTTAGGGTCACAAAAACTGAAGTATGTGGAGAAAACCCATGCCAATACAAGGAGAACATGCAAAGTCCACAAAGAAAAGTTACAGCTGACCCTAGAGGGGTTTGAACACAGGAGTATCTGGCTGTCAAAAGACAGTGTCGGCCCATAAAAAGATGTCCAAGTACACAGCCTTTTAGTCAGCATTGGTAAATTTTTGTCTTTTCCTTAAACGAAAGGTTCGAGAACATTCACTTTCTTACCAACAATTAGATGAGAAGATCCATGCCACTTTAATGTCAGTATGTTAAATATAAAGGTATCACCGGCAGGCAGTTAGTATAGCTTAGCATAAGGTCAGGAAGGCTTGCCTCACTATCTAAATGTTAAAAAAATTTGCCTATCAGCAAATGAAAAACTCAGTAATTATCAAGTTAAATTTTGCTCTCATCTAATTATTGGCAAGAAAGTACATGGCAAAAAGCTAATGCTTTAATGTTTGAGTGTAAGTTCTTTGGGATCATACCAGTCTGCTATGTAAAATTTGATCATTTTTGTTCATGGGATAGTAGTTATAGTAAATATAAAGAAAGAAGAAGAAAGACAGAGAAAAGAATACATGCAATCAATCATTTGGGCCCAGCCGTCTAATAAAAGGTTCTTTTACTGTTACAAAACTTAACTGAGCCAACCAAAGTCTAACTGTAAACTGTCAATTAGCAGCAATTAGCTGTCAAACGTGTGTATTGGAAAGCCCTGGGGGGGTTTATTAACCCTTGACCTTGCACTGATTGGCTGGCTTAGGAAATTCCACAAATGGATTGAGCCTTTTATGCTCTTCACTAAGCCCTAGTGTGAAGCTTTTCTTTCTGTGCATTGTATTCTCTAGTGTTTATGTGTCCCCTTTCTCTTTCACTTCCTCCAAAACACACCGTTTCATGTGACTGGGGAGGGTGGGAGCATCAGGACCAAGGCCCTACCAGAGCTATCCCCACGCAAGCCAGGTGGATACATTATTACATAGAGCTCTGTGTTGCTTTAAAAAAAAAAAAAAAAAGAAAAAAAAAAAAGGAAACAGGCATCTATAGAGAAGCCAGAGATGTTTTCTCTTCTAGTGAACAGAAATGTAATCTCAAAACCCAGGCACTGAATAAACAAAAATGGTTAATAACAAACTGTCATGACTGTGTACGCTCAACAGATATATACCCAGTCTGTCAACATTGTGGATAACTAGACCACTGAACATCACATTCAATTTAAGGGTTAAAATTTCGATATCCAAGGAGAGCAGAAACCCCAGGAAAGGTGAGTCTTAAATGTTACACAGCAAAGCCAGCAACAGACAAAAATGGGTTGACAAAAAAGAAAAAAAGAAAAAAAAGGATGAGTGCCCAAAAGCCACCAGAGGCATTATGGAAAAAGCAGTACAAGCAACAAGCATTAGGCTACAATGTGGTCTAAGTATATACAAAATTAAGCCTTTAAAGCCCATTTCAGCCCAATGTTTATTTTTTTAGGGTAAAAATGCATCCACCAAAACCAGCCCTTAGCGATGTATGCACCAGTCAGAGGAGAGTACATCCATAGAAAAAGAGGGATGAGAAAACAAAAGGAAAGAGGGAGCACAGGCTGGAGTTACAAAGTTCGGCATGCTGTCGGATACATACCCTGCTTGGCTACAATCTCGATAGGGCAGGACAGAAAATACACTATAGAAGGATCTTCTGCCACTGATAAGGACTATCCTATAAAAACAAAAATGGTAAACAAGCTAATCAATGTCTATCTGGACAAGATCCACAGATTAAAGTTGGAAAAAGTGTGCAGTAAAAACTTAGAATAAAAGAGAATGAACTGGAAATTCAGGATAAGTGTGTGTTGTTTTGTAGCACTGTAGCATGTAGTCAGTGGTTTGGAAACAACAAAGATGCATTTTTGCTACAAAATCTTATTTCTTTAAAAACTTCAGTTCAAACGAGCCATTTTTATACGAAACTACAGAAATGTTTCCAGGTGACCAGATGTCCACATCACAGAATGTCTTTAAATAACACCAAAACAACCTCAGAATTACTTCTATTAATAGCTGCAACTCACAGGCACATGATGATGATCACCACTCGGCCAAAATCATCATCAGGACATACACAGCACGTGAGTCATGAAATGCCTATTGTTTCAGCATCAGTTAATCAACAAGTAGTCGTTAATGGTGTGGAAAATCCAGCTCAGCATTATCCCACATCAGATGTGGATCTGGGTATCAGGAAAAACAATTTTACATATCAACTAATTTAACAGGTGGAACTTATCAAGATGGTACAGCGATAGTCTAAACCAGAGGTACTAGCTTTCACATGAGATCTGCTTCTTCGGGACAACCAAACGCTGAACAAGAGCTAGAACTAACAGATTAATAAATACATTAATAAATTAATAAATTGTTTAAAAAATAATTCAACTTAAAAAAGGATTCTTTACTTAAAAAGCACCAAAATTAGACTATGCATCGCAAAACACCAACAAAAAAAAGTTGGTGTTACTTTCCAAAAAGTTACTTTCCAAAGCCAAAGGCTGAAAGTCACCAGAGCATTATTGGTCTCCTGGCTTACATTAAACAACCATCGCCCCTTTGGTTACTTTCTGCACACCCAGTAAAACGTCAACATTAATATCACTGAGCCAAAAGTTGTCTGTATTTAGGGATTTGTATGCCGGATACATGTTTGTTAGACTGTGACACAATGGCATGTGATTCAGTAGATTTATTTAATACTCGAGTAGAGTGATTTTACAGTGTGATTCCGAAATTTCAACAGTGATCAAAATAAAATACGATATATTCAATATAGACATGATTTATATTATGTTATATTTATAAGTCAGAACAACATGCTGTGAATGGGCCAGGCCTGCTCGCCTGCAATGTGGCTTGTAATGTGAGAAACATCCAAACTGCAGTTCATTGACTGGGGCAGCCTGCCATTATCCACTGAGGACTTGTATTGACTAAGGGATGGCATTGTTTGCCTTCATACCTTCCATTGCGCATATCATGTTGCCTCATGTTCTTTATGAAGTGGACTTTCTTGAAGCTCTTTGGTCGGGGTGAACCCGATAGGGTTCGGCATCTAAAATGTAAAACAAGCACACAACATCAGTACCCAGAAAAAGAGTGAAACTCTGCCAGTGGGATACATTACACTGAGCTGAATGTCTCATTTTAGACACACAAAATGTAGTAGCAGACAATGTGAATGAGAAGGGTAATCCTGTACATTTTACTACCTGCGAAGAGGAGCATTTTCCTCAATGTCCTCTAGCGTTTCAAGCGAAGAGCGCTGAGAGATGAGTCTTCGTCTGAGAAGGCAGAAAGAGGGGTTTGAGGTTAGAGGAAATCAAGAAATTATCAACACCAAAATCTTACAGGACCAACTGCCATTCAACAGCTCCTAGATGAACCAACGCTGGCACAATAATAGCAACAATTCTAATCGTGATCTTTTTTTTTTTTGCCATAGCAAACACATGAACACATGGTACTGCAAAGGAATTTGATGAAAAAGCAAAACAGTAAATCAAAGTCTGCTCAACAGCAATACCTGAAATGGAAAAAGTCAGCACCAAAAATCTATAAGAGGTCATTTTCCACACAAATTGAGGTCAGTCTAGCTTTTAGAATAAAACAAGATATCAGTATTTGCCAAATGTCAAGCCAAATCTCTATTTACCTACTTACTGCAAAGCAATGCATCAATAAGCCACTATGTAGCTCACTATACTTTTACACAACTACAACTACTAAAAACGTTTTTTTTAATTTAACAGAATATGTCACACTACTGTGCATTAGTGTCAAATAATCAATTTTGCCAAAAGAAAATACTTTCTGTTTTTTGGTACTTGACGCTCATTGATCCTTAATACTACTGATACATTTCTGTGCATGTCAGTGCTCAAAAAGCATTAAGGTTTGATACCCAGCTCTGGAACAAAGTGCATGTGTGGTGACTGGAGGCCTTGACACAAGGGCCACACAATGTTAAATTATCACCTGTTTCTGTATGTTCTGTGGTTCATTTACACAAACGAGTCTTGGACGGTCAAGTTATGACTGCCATCAATCAACACCACTGTGTGCCTTTGTGGTCAATGATCACTCCTCAGCCTTGTGTAGATCACAGAGAATTTTCCAGGATCTGAGCTGCTAAGAGGATAACGATCTGGCTCTGAAAGCACTTTGTGTAACACATTTTGTCACAGATGGCCTTTATTTCACACTTTATTGCACGACTCAACAGGCTAATTCTGCTGGACCACTTTTATATGATCGGCTGCCAGTGTCAGAAACAAACCCACATGTGATAGCTAAGTAAGCCTGAGCTGTTCCAAAATTAGGTTGTAATTGCATGTTTAACACCACAATAATAACATAATCCAACTCATTAGCCTGCCTTACAAAGTGGCCACAATTAAAGTAGTGGAAATTAACACAATAATGGTCAAATAACAAAAACATGACACATTCTCTCAAAGGGTCTATCTGTCATCAAGTCCTAAACAGCTCTGCAGCTGTCTTACTATTCTGCCAGGCCCAAACAAATGGCTGTTCACACCATGCATATTGTATATCCTCTTGGGCTAATTATTTTAACAAATCAAAAAGGTGCTGTAATGCTGTAGACCCTGCAGCATAAAAACAAGCTGATGACACTGATGACCCTCTTCACTGAGCATCTCAGCCAAAGGGAGAGACAGCGGAGTGTAAAGCAGAGTGGCTGGTTAATAAACGACAGAGCATGAGGACAGATTAACAAAAGATGACTCTGTACTTGAGGATCTCCCAGGGTTTAAACCAACACAAGCTGAGTGAACTCTGTATACTGGAGGAGATGGGGTGAGATAAGTGTTTACATCATGAGGAGCCAGACTGTTGAAGCAGACAAGAAACCGAGAGCCATTATTCTGGCTCACCCTCTGCACTGTATATTATGACCCTAATGATCATAAACTGGAGGGAAGAACACCAAGCTCCGATAAAGGGCATGAACAGTACAATTCTTAGTCCAAATGATTACCACAGTGTGCAGCTGACATCAACACTGTCTCTGCTACCGTGCACTGAGAGGGTCATAATAAAGGGGCCTGACCTTTAGCTGAAGGTCAGACGAGTAGGGGTCATGTGATTTATGGTTAGTCTTACATCATCCTCCTTTAGTGATAACCCTGAAAGATGGATTGGCTGAATAAAAATAAGCGGACAAGCTGACAAGACTTCTGATTTGCTCAAATGGTGCATAACTTCATTCCTAAAACCACTGCAAAATGAAGCTTTAGAAACGTTTTGATCATAAGAAGAGCTTTCAATGGTGTATTTTGATGTATTTAGAGATAAAATGGGATCCTAGCATGGATAACAGTCTTTAGTTAATGAGAAAGTAAAAATCACCTCATCTTAGTCTTTAATCCAACACTGACTCAAATTAAGGCTTTCTATTCCAAGGCTTAACCTAAAGCTGCACTAATCAATATATTCATGTGAACAATGGGTCAAATGACTATGGGCAACATCAAAGGCTTGTCTAGTAGTATCGAATTCACAGAGAATTATCACCCAACACTGCGGCCCTCTTTAGCTCTATGGAGCGCTTTAGCTTTTTTCAGCTCTTTGTTTTGGCTTTATGGCTCACAAATGTATTGTACTGGTTCCCTCTCATTGCTCTCATCAGCATTGTTTACAGCATCAGCAGGCAGCTGTTTTCAGCAAGCTTTAAAAGCCCACTGTAAACTACCTGCCCAGCATGCAGCAACAGACAACATTAGCATCTAGCTGGTGAACATAGTGGTGCATTTAGTAGCTAAAGAAACAGATATTTCCCTCAGGGGCTGGTGGAGGACAAAACAGAGCTAAAATGGAGAGTGAACATTGGACTCACATTCATTATGTGGCCAGAAACACAATTCCAAATGAATGATAATGTTTTTCCAAGTTTGTTAGTGTCTGCTAAATGTCTAAATAGGCAACTGTTTGCTAACACTTGTAGCATCATACCAAGGTCATATTTGTTGTTAATAGATTGTTTTGCCACACCCCAATCGACCAAATAAGTCAGTTAATGCAGGTTCATAGAAGTATAGTTTGGGATGTTTTCAAGTCTTAATATATTTCTCACATGCTAATGTGTACACTGAAACAGTCATTATTTTCTATAATCATTACTCCTGTCCATAGTGGCAGTGAAGGGATACATTCCCAGCATGATAAGATGAAGGACCAAATTTACAGTTCTGATTCCATGTAAAAATGTATTGTAAAGTTCAGCTGAAGCTAATATGACCCTTTAGCTGCCTAAGTTAGCCCAAGTAAATGGGTATCCTCCAAACCTAGTACAAACTTCCCCCTGTAATTCCCGAAACAATGTTTTCTTGAAGAGCTAAAAAATTTGGAATTTCACACACAAGAAAAGGCTTGTAACTTTGGAAGCTGCCCACTTGATTTCACTAACTTAGCCTGCTAAATGCCCATTTTAGCTTCGGTTGAATTTTTGCACAGACTGAGAACTGGACAGGGGAAATGACTACACTGACCAAACACTGTCAACATACATAGGCACGAGAATAGAATAAAACTATAAAGCTACAGTGTCCCCAGTCTATATCTGAGCCTAGGAAAAAATAACCTCTTTTTGTTACCTTGTGTGACATTTAGTCATTTTTCCAGTGCAAATCTCTATGAATCGTTACTTTCCTTCAAAAAAATTATTCACCAATTGGCCTAAGGGCATGTTTCCAGTTCATCAACTGAACAGTGCTTCAGAGGACTTTGATCCAGACAAACTGTAGATTAACAGCTGCAGCAGGATATGTTTTTAATGCAAAAGATGTTTTCCAGGCTGGTACAAATCCTGGAAACAATAACACGGGCCAAGCCACTCATTCACTTTAGACATGAACAATCCCAACTCGGGTTAGAACAATCAGTTTCTATACAGCTTGACATTAACAAGACTCTGTCAGAAGCTTCAAAGAAGCCTCAGTTTAAATCAGTGGCAAAGGAGCCACAACAAGCATCCCTCAGTGTCTTTGACACAGTTCCTACTACTGTTGCCTCAAGTAATTTTCTTTAAGCATTTTTCATAAATGCAACCCATTCAGCATTAAGCCATTTCTACTGCAGACACAATAACATCCTCTTGGAATTGAAAATGTCTCAAATAGTTATTGATAATCCTGTCCAGTGGTGCCATGAAATAAAGCTATAAAACTCAAGTGGACTATTTAGATGTGGTGATTAAACAGCTTCACACATACGCCCTGTTGGCAGCTTGCCACAGGACATAGTCTTTCATTTTGCTGGGAGAGTCACTGAATGGAAATAAATGTAATGTTCTGGGCTTCTTCACACAAATACAGCCCCGCTAAACGGAAATGTGATTATTCTGATAAAAAAAAAAATATATATATATATATAAATCCAGTCAGAGCAGTTCAGCGGGGGGTAAATGAGATGTATCAGCAGATTTGAAAAATAAAATCGACAGAAAGGAAGTTGAAGAAACAGATGCTGTGTACAACAGCAATATATGGCACAGTTAAGCTGTTTAAGGTGAAGAAACCGAACAGGTCATAATGTGGAAACTTAACTCTGGGGTCCAACTTGAAATTGCATGAGGTAAAACACATGCTGACCCTTGTTACCCTGTCTTTACTCACTGTGGGATTTTTCATTCAAATCTTATGGGCTTTTCTAAGCATTTGTTGACAGCTCAGGCATTGAGAGACTCTGTGAAGGAAAATGAAGCATGCTTATGTAAGCCTGCGATTATGCCAACCATGACCTCAGCGAACAACGATCAACATCATGACCAGAAGTATGTGACCCAATCGCACAAAAACTCCACAGGACCATTATAACAGCTTGTGCTGCTTGTTTTCCAGCCACAGTTTCTGCTGCCTCATGCTAAAAAAATCTTGTTAAAGTACATGATTCTGCACTTTCTAATGGTGGCGGGAGCCTTCATACATCTTACTGGGGAAAGGATGAAATTAAAATAGCTCTACACCTTAGGCAGACAAGGCCAGATGGTAATAGGTGCTGTATGCTATATTTAAAGCACAGCTCTTGGCATGCTGATTCATGATGGATGAACGCTAAGGAGTGGAAGGAAAGCTGAATATAAAATCACCCATAATTTTCATGCATTAGATTCTGATTAGGATATGGTCTAAAGCGGTTTTGGCCTCAGAGAGTCTATTCTGGCGGCACATCAAAGGCTCTGTGACTTCCTGAATGGGAGCGGGACTGAAGGCCAAAAAGTCTGAGTGGAGAGTGTGTCTCTGATGCCCCTGGGAGAGGAAGTGGAGGACAGAAAATACAGAGCTGAGAGCCAGGCTGCTTCTCAGAAAGCCTGGGCATCCTGCCTCACCCAGCCAGGGACCTCTGGACACGTTTCCACCAGCTGCCCTCAGAAAACAAACCAGGCACTGTGCAGAACGCTTGTCTGTCCGCGCGCCGGTGGAATATGGCCACGCTCCATCAACAGGTTGCTTACCTCTCAACATTAGAATTAATTTTTTGTGGATGTCCTCCAAACACATTCCAAAAGCAGGGTACAGTCAAGGTTAAAGAATTTCATACTGTAGTTACTAGCTCAACAACAACAGAACTGTGTAGTAGAAAGCAGATGTCAGACATGCAACAGCTGGGCATTGAACCTCAATATTTTTTTGGTTCTGAACTGAAATGCGTTCACAGAACAAAGTACTAAAATCTGCCTGGGAATAATTTAATTTCTGATTTTTATTGTAGTTTTTTTTTTTTTTAGCCAGAGCTCTTTTATGACACTTTGTGTTTAACATTTGAAAATTATTGCTTTGATTTTTTGAAATAAAAAAAAAAGTTCTGTAGAAAAACATGTATTCATTTCCCAAAGTAAGGCATTGAAAAAAGTATTGTTGCAGTATGGGTAACCAAACTGTTATTTTGTCAAACGAAGTTCAACCACATGCATGTGCAATTCAGTGCCACCATATATACCCACCTGAACCAAACTATTTCCACCTTGAGACTGAAAATTCAATCATGACCTTGGAAACATTAGTTGACAGAACAATCTCACCATAATCTCATTATGTAGTATTTAATCTGGAGCTTTCTATCATATCACATGATATTCCTCAAAACATGGAGTTTGCCCAGCTGTCATGGGATTGCAGATTTTAAAATTTCTATTCTGTCAACTTCTGTTTCCAAGGTCAAGAATGAACTTTAAATCTCTACTTTTAAGACAACATGAACAGGAGGTCCTTAAAGTGATCAGGAAAATGGAAATATAAACATACAATTGTATATGATCAAAAACTCAAGAACAGCTCCTAATTGGTGGTGAGAATGTTTTGTCAATTAATGTTAACTTTATTATAGGCCTGTGTATCAATTCATCTCTGTCTATTTCTGAAGCTGTAGTTAATAATGTACTGGATTGTGCATCATTGTTAGGTGTGTCTGTTATGTTCATTCCATGTAAATAGTCTCTCACTTAAAAAATTATTGATGGCTTCTTGAGTGTTATGCATGTCTCTATCAAAAAGTACAGATTAAGACTTGCGGAAGCCGTTAGTTCAACAGTGCAATTTCCACGAGTTCAAGAAGGGGAACTAGATGCTTACTGAGTGTTTCGCCATGAAGCAGAGCTTCCTGAGAAGTCTGGCAGAGTCACCAGAGGGAGGAGAGGATTTGGGTAAGAGAGGGGGGCTCTGGATGGAGAGCTGAGCAGAAAGGATTTGACAGCAGGTTCTGACAGTGAGAAAGCCATGAGACGACTGTTACTGACAGCTGTCCCGCTGCGAGGTGAGACCCTCCAACCTCTCCTCGTGCCTCCCAAGTGAAGACAAAGCAAACAAAGAGGGCAACTAAAAGACATCCACATGGAGCAGCAAGCCCCTCTTCTGTTCTATGTGTATTTGAACAGGGGTGTAGAGTTACAGCATGTTTATATCACGCAGAGGAGAAGAAGGAGACAGCAGGTGTGTGCCAGGCTTTGGAATGACATTCACTAAAAATAATTTGAGGTCCAGTAAATTTGACATAGTGCATGAGAACATGTACAAAACAGAAACACAGAGAGAAACTGATGAGGTGTGTTGCTGACTTCCCTCTCAGGGGAAACTAGGTTACGCCTCCACAGCTGTTGGACCTGTGATCATACTGAATGTATCTGTCCCTGTGCAGACCAGTGAGTCATAAGGCTACAACCATCTGCATGGAGTAAATATACAAACAGCTGAACTTTCTCCTCCTGCTGTGCATTGTTGTGTCCAGGCAGATTGCATTGCTTGGCACCAAGAGTACCTTTTCAAAACAGAAATGAGAAAAGAAGAAATATGAAAGAAAACTGTTACAAGAGTTCATTCATTCAGGGCTGTGGTCAGTGAGGGAACAAGGAAACACACTTAACCCATTACAAGTTCCAGATACCAATGTGTGAATTAAGTCTTGCACCTTAAATGAATTAACTGATTGATAAAAGAAATGGCAACCTGGCTGTGAGTTGGAATTCAAACCAACATACAATAAGGGGTGTGTCAGTGTAATCTTATTGTAACTATAGCCAAACACACAAGATGACTGACTGCTCCTATGCATGCTTCTTGCAGTGGCACACTGTTGAAATCTTAGTGGTGGGGCATGGCTAAGTTTTTGTTTGCTTGTGATGATATGCAAGCAAACAATGGCCTGACTGCAGAATCCTGCAGACAAGCTTGAATATTTAACATCATCACAACACCAGACACAGTGTACTACATGTCCCCTGCATCAGACAGTTGAGTGGAATTGATGTTCTCACAGTTACCTTGACCTCTGTAGCTCTATGGCAGAGTTGGCTATCTGTCCACCCTCCAGGCAGTAGCTTTGGGAGGACTGTCTGGAGTAGGAGGCAGGAAGGATTCCCTGAGTGTACGTCTGCAGCCTCCCTCTAGTCGAGGCTGGGACCGCGGAGAAGGGAGAGCTGAACGTCGAGGACACGAAAGCGTCGCCCTCCGTGTCTGCACCCGCCGCCGGGGCAGCGGCAGGACCCGTCCCAAAACTGGCCCGACTGCTGGCGAGGAGAGCCTGGTTTGCAAAAGCGAGCGCCTGGGCGGCCGTGGTCGCCGCCGCCGCCGCCGCCGCCGCAGCAGCAGCAGCTCCGGCGCCAGCAGCCCCGTACGCCGAGCGCTCCGGGGAAACCAGGCTCTGTGTAGTCCTAGGTTCAAGTGAGCCTTCCTCTTCGTTTTGATTGTCTGCATCGTCTTGCACGGGTCGTCCATCTAAAGAAATGTTGCTGAGAAAAGACAGCGCCGCTTGCCTCCTCCTCGGGTCTATGCGTTTCCGCGTATGCTCGATACTGGGGTGCTTTATCTGAAGCGTGGCTGTGGATGTGTTGCTGCTCGTGGCAGCCGCCATGGTCCACTTCCACTGATCCGAGTCCCTGCTGCAGCGATCTTACCTTGCTGACATTAATATTGAGTTAATCGTGCTTGTGCTGGTGAATGGTAGTGGCCTGTCTTTTAAGTACATGCGTTTAACTGGGTGAAAACAGGGAGGTCACGTGTGTGCAGTATTGTGGCAGCACAGGGAAAATTTGGACCAATGGGCTGTCAGGAATACGTGTTTTTCTTTTTTTTTTCAATACCTTTTCCTGACTGCTGAAGCGTCTCTCGCTGCTGTGACAGTGCATGCCAAAATTACATAAACCAGGCACGGCATCTCTAAAACAGTCAGATCTGCACAATATTGGTCTGTAATCAACACTTTCATTTTTGCCATCAGTCTGCATACAAGGGATTCCTACAAGAAGGCTTTCACATAATGGCATGGAAACTTTTGGAGCAGCTTCCTGCTTTACACGTTTCACTCAGGCATGGCGAAAGCGCTACTATTGCTGTCTCTTCAATCCGCACAAGGCGCAGTTGTATACACAATGATCTATAGTCGCTGACAGAATGGGGCCTGGCTCTGTTTGTTTTGAGAAAATAGATCATTTTCTGAATCGCACCAGTCAGCATCTCTGCTGCAATTGCGCCATCTGTCTGCATGAAATGCATTGCGTCTGCTAGTTTTTGGCCATAACCCAATTAAATATGCCATCTAGTGGTTTTTGGATGGCAGCCACTGTAGCCTACATACAGGAGCATTACCAGCATATTTTGATGAAGAGATCAGGAGAGGCAGGACTGGGGGATTATCAGACTTTGACCATTTAATAGCATTAATGTATTGTATACATTTATATACTGTATTTTCCAAAATGTAAGTCTTATGGAAGATATTATGGATATAATTATGGATTATCATTCCCCCAATAAATTACCACTTTGTTTGAAAAGTGAAAAATGAATGTGAAGAAAATACAAAGGACAAAAGGTGTTTGTTGTTGCCCTATTCTGCCCTCTCAGATCTTGAAATAAAGTGATGTTAAACACTCCCTGCCATGGCAGGATTAAAGTGTCAGGGGGCCTTGGGGAAGCAAAAATTGCTGACCCCTTTTCTGTATCTTGCTGTTTCAGGGAGTTTCACTGTAGGCCCAGAAAACAACCAGTGCTCCCATGCTGAAATTATTTTTGTTCAGTAAATTTGATTAAACACAACTTTATTTAAGTTTACACATCATGTGTGTGCACAATATAAAGTTAAATAATAAATTGTAAACTACACACAGGACCACAAGACTCTGTAAGACTGGCTACGTGATGAGATAATGCTCAAGCAGCCAGTCATTATGATTTGCAATCAATCAAATTATCATGAACTGACAGACAAATTTGACCAAAATTGGTAGCTACTACCAGAGGAACACATTTAACAGTAGTTCACAGCCAGAGATAAATAACAGTGTAGAATAGTCTAATGCAAAGTTCCTCTTAATCTTAACATCCACGCGGGAAAATTTATAAAAGCCTCAGTGGCGTTTCTAGATGAACTGAGCTGAGCTTTGTCAAATGGCACAATATTATTTAGTTACACTGTTTTAAACAGGGATTATTGCCACAGAAAAGAGTGTGTGTTTGCTTTTTCTTTTTTTTCAGACTAACTATATATACTATATATATATATGTGTGTGTGTGTGTGTGTGGGTGTGTGTATGTGTGCAGTTTTGCTGTTAGACTGCTAATAGCATAACATTTATTTACCACTAGAGGTCGCTGTTGGACCTCGAATCTGCACTATGCTGCCTGTTTCCCCCCAGGGTCTGTATTACACAAAGGATGTTTCTTAAGCCTCCAGGTTGGATGTACATCGCAATATCAGTGCTAAGTGTATAAGTGCCATGAAACCCCTGGTGTTTTATTTCTGAAACACGTTTGGTTTGAGGCAGTATGATTTATGATATTGACTCTTCAGTGTTTTTAATCACTTATTCTGTAAGGTTATGGTAATCATACAGACACTTCATTAATGATGATTCCTCACAGATCAGTTTTTGTTTTATATATTCATTTGAATTCACTTCCCAAGTAAGTTTTAATTCTTTCAGTCGAGTACTTATTGTACAAGGAAAGTGTCAACATTCAAAACAAGAATGCTATATACAATATATCTACATTTAACATTTAGCATTGGGTACAAACAGCATACTCTGCAGATCTGTGCTCTGATGTCTTTATGTAGACAGCCTGGGTAACAATAAAGTGTAGGAACTGCAGGTTCTTTGGCCCCAGTTAATCTGAGCGTCCCATCAGCCTCTGCAGCGCCGCAGAACAGACTCTTGCCCTTGGTGAGAAACACTGAGCTTCCTGTGTTTGTGTGAAGTTTCCTACTCATACAGCACTTCAACACCTCATTGTGAGGCTTCATGCACATGACTCTGCTATTACGTTTACAATGATTAAAGACAAACATCATGCCAACATACATCATTAATTTTTCCCTCGCAGCCACAATTATACTTTAGTCTCGTAATGGATATAGTATTGTACGGCAGTGCAATAGTTATGGCCTTAATAAAGAGAGGCATTTGAAAGAAAAATGGGATTAAGGTGAGAGGATAGAATGTGGAAGGAAGAGGCCAAAGATCAGAGACAACAATAGGGAACTAAAATTTAGTCATCCAGGTATTTATTGTTTTATTTAAGTCATGGAATTTAGCACTAACTGAGAGAAACTCCATGTCAGTGACATATGATTAATGTTTTTGGTAATCCTAGGCCTGGGAAAGGTTTCACCCTTTTGTTTTTTTATACCAATAACATTTTGAGCCATTGCAGGGTAAAGCAATTAAAATGCCTGCCAAGCTATTTCAGGGGTGCTAATGTCGCTGCTTGCCTTAGTTGGTCTTGCCGGGACACACTCTTTACATGCGTCACACAAACAAACCCACACACACACACACACACACACACACACACACACACACACACACACACACACACACACACACACACTGAGCCAGGAAAGCTCAGTATCACCTATAGAGTGCCTTAGCACCTGCTTCAACCAAGCAATAAAACTAGAGTATACCATACTAATATACTGCACATGAGGCCAATGCCTCTAATGTAGCAGAGGCTTAAAACTTAATCCTAACTATATTGGGATAATGAAATGGAAACGTTCCTATGTGATTTCTGACATTGAATTCTCCCATATTCCCCAGTCAAGAATCAGATCTATCAACATTAGCAGCCATGGTCAGATTAGGTGTGTGTTGATGAAGGATTAAGATAAGAGCGAGTGTGTGAGGCCAGCACAGAGCTCTCACACAGGGACGGCTCGTCTTAATGGGACCGGGGTCTTATCAGAGGAATCTAAAGAGCTCCCTGAAGTTCACCTCAGTTTAATCGTAGGCTTTTGGATGACACTTAGATAGCCCCATGATGTACTCTGTGGTGAGCACCATTCACTTTCACATAGTGAGAATCATGGGAAATAAGTTTAGTGACGTGGAAACGAAAAAAAGAGAGAGAGAATGTTTTCACTTATTCTGGGAGTGATGATGAGTCAACAGTTCATCAAATCTCAGAGAAAGATTATTAAAAAATAATCTCCACTGCATTTACAGGAAATTGATTGATGTTTTTGGGGAATACACTTTCATGCCCAGATATACATAAGGAGTTTGGTACCATTCTCATATCTATTCATAAATATGAATAGATAAGCCAGCAGCAGGTTAGCTTAGCTTAGGACAAAGACTGGACACGGGGAAAAAGCTAGCCTAGCCCAAAGTTAACAAAACCGACCTACGAGCACCTCAAAAGCTCACTAATTTAGACGTTAAATTTCTTGTTTGCTTAATCCTCACAAAACAAAGGTGTAAAAAGAACTTTCCCAAAAATGTTGCACTATTCCTTTACAGAGTACCATTGAATATGTCTTTGTGTCAAAAGCTTGCCGTCTCAAAGTCTGCCTGTTTGTGCCTGACACAGACAGATATGCTTATCCTGGTTGAGTGTTAGTGCTCTGTGGTCAAGAGGGCAGTGCTGGTTGTGGTCGGGTACACGTTCAGAGGAGGGGTGGGGGGGGGGGAAAGGGGGTGGCGGAGGAAAAGGAGGGAGGGGATAGGAGGCGTGGAGAGGTGGTGGGGTCTTGTGGTTGTGGCCTGGGATTGATGACTCTGTTATAGGTCGCAGAGAAAGAGCCCACCCGCGTGCCGCAGCCCCCCAACATCAAACATGCCGTATTATGTTGATATATGGAGATGGCTGGGCAGCACTTTCAACTGATGCAGGCCAGGTCCATCAAAGGATTTATCTCTTCACAAGATTAAAGGGGGCCAAGGCGTCTGCCAAACAAAGGCTAAAACTTGGGGTCAGCCCAGGTCCTGGACTGAGAGATTTACACTGAGGCAACGTTCACGTCGTAGTAAGAAGAAGAAGAAGACATCTCAGGCTCTGTCATGTCTAACTTAAATCTGACAGTTAGTAAATTCATTTAGCAGTTAGCTAGCTGATGCTCATATCATGATTGTCGACCGCGATTGATAAATGATCCATTAATGTGATTTTGTAGTAGATACCTGTGTGCATGCATTGCTGTAAATGTCCAGCAATATCATCTAACACCACAAACACATTATCACATACTTTGTGTCAGACCGTGAGGCAGGCAGGGTTAAAATGATTCAAAACCTCCTTTATATTTCTGACATGTTCCTGGCATCTTTTGGGATTCCACAGTAATGACGAAATCACTTTTTGGGGAGCATTAGGGCAGTTATTTTTTCATATTTCCTCTTAAATAGTAATCGAGGATCTGTAGTTCATCTTGTACATGAAAATTTGAGCCACTTTTTACAAATTTGTGTCACTTCCAGTGACTTGTTCCTGTTGCTTTGACCTTTGAACTCCCTCCTATTAGTCACTTTGTAATGTTTTTAGTCCAGGAATGTGGGCCTGTTTCACTGTTGCCCTTATTGTAAAACGCTTTGGTTTAACAGCTAAATGCCAAAAATAAACGTGAATGTGTAGAATTTCAATTCTATTACAATGTGAACATTAATTATTAACCATGTCTTTTACTGTAAATGGTTTTGACTCTTCCTCATTTTTCCAGCTCCTCTGCAGTT